GGCGTTGTTATGTGACAGTCAATCCCACTATTCGTTGGTAAAAGAGTAGCCCAAGAGTTGGCGGTGGGTGGTGATAACTAACTGCCTTCCTTCTAGTCTTACACTGCAAAATTAGGGACGACTAGCGCAGACAGACCTCGTGTAGCTTTGCGCGAAATTGAAAAACAAAACAATCATTGGTAAAAATGATTCAAACGACTTTGGAACATATGGGTTTGCTTTAAATTTTTTGGTCTTTCTTAGTTTTTAGATACTAATATTTCAATGAAGTCATACCAGTTCTTCAAATTGAATTTTACCATCCAATTGCGACTTTTCGCGAAACACGCAACTCTCTCATTAACTATCAGAAAATGACTCGATGAGCTCACTAAAATCTGATTAAAGCATTGACTAAACTAGATGTGTCTATCGTCTTCATTCACACTGATAACCTTTTCGTTAGATCCAGCTTTCTTTGATATCTTGTTTTTGTTCTGGATCTCACCTTATTCTACTTTCAGTGAGACTGAAATTATTTTGGAATTACTTGGGCTAAGCATAACTTCTTAACGGCTAAGTAAACACAATAGTTTACCGACATTTTGGTGAAACACTTAAACTTCGTTTGGCATTTTCACATCATTCGACAACGTTCAGTTTTTATGTATTTTTAAATTTAATATTCTTATGAGATGTAAGTTAGACAATGCGTTTTCTTTGCTTACAGCTTATGATAACTGAATATGGATAGTTTTTTTGTTACTAAGGCAGCATTGTTATTCTTGATGACAAGTTTCATTTACTGTTGGAAGTTGTTAGGTTTCATGGTCAAAGTCAGACATTAATTTAGTTACATACAAGTTATTTTCGATTGATCCAGCTAGTTTGTGAATGGGATTATGAACATAGTTTTAAGCATGGTGCACCTGGGATCTCCAGGAACACAAACTCCGATGTCATATTCGAGTTAAGCGACCCCGAAAACGTACACTTAGATCCTCACCATGGCTGGGTGACCTTCGGGACATGTTTTAGTCCCACCACCCCTCTTGGTAAGAGGAGATCACCGTATAAATACGAACACCCTCCTAGGCCACCCCGACTGCTAACCATATATGTCTTTTTCTTCTTGTTTCAGGTACATAGTTCAGGCACTACCCGGGTAGAATATTCGGTGTCCGGGTAGTGAAAGTGGGTTTTTCTCGGGGCACTCCCGTTCACCCTCCACATCAAAATTCTGGATATCGGATCTACAGATCCCCACCGGTTGGTTTTGTGCTACACCACAATCGCGTGCTGCCTTCGGTTCCTTTTGCTGTTTGCTTGCTTGACCCACACATCGCGACGAGTTATTTAAACTTTTATCAAGTTGCCGATATTTTTTTTCGTGAAGTTATTGCTAAACCATCTTTTATCTGAACACTCCCGATTGCATTTGAATATTTCAAATCAATTGTATTAAATCAAATTACTATCGTGATTTTGAGGCTACCCCGAGTTCGCCTGCCCAGTTTGGTCGTGCTATTTTCAAAACTATGGGAGGAGCTTGAGGACAAACAAACACAAACATACAACGTGGACACTGTTGAGATTCATAAAGTGACTGACTGCTAAGAGGCAGATATCAATCTATATACTTGTTTGTAATTCTAACCATTTCTTATAACACTTTTATTTCACCGTTACGAAGACATGCTACTTGGTAAAAGGTGGAAAACAATATAGATTTAGATATATCATTACTTTCATTAGAAGGTAAGCAACAATGTTGTAACGTACTAATCCTTTAAAATGCCCATAAGGTAGAAGTTACGCAATAAGGTTTTAACATACTAATCCTTTAAAATGCCCATAAGGTAGAAGGTACGCAACAATGTTTTAACATACTAATCCTTTAAAATGCCCATCAGGTAGAAGGTACGCAACAATGTTTTAACATACTAATCCTTTAAAATGTCCATCAGGTAGAAGGTACGCAACAATGTTGTAACATACTAATCCTTTAAAATGCCCATCAGGTAGAAAGTAAGCAACAATGTTGTAACATACTAATCCTTTAAAATGTCCGTTAGGTTAATATATCTGGTAAAAAAAATAAACAACATAATAAATGTATACTTGTACTTTTAACTAATTATTCGGATTTATCAGATTACTCTGAGAAAGGCAGTGTAGATTTATGATAATATATTTGCACGAATGCCGTCTGATGAGAGGAATATAACATTTTGTCGCCAATTCTCAGTGCTGAGATACGATCAAGTAACATAGTCTCACTACTGCGATATCTCAGAAGGTAAGTCTCCCAGTGGATCAGTGGTAACTTACAATACTAAAATCCCTAATTCGATGGACAGAGCGCAGATGGTCTATTGTGTAGCTTTGTGCAAGAAACAATGAAACCCACCTAGCGGTAAAGAATAGCAACATGAAAAACACTTTTGTTAATAACGTATGTATATATATACTCACAAGTATTAACGTGAAGTAATTTGTGATCAAGCACTATTTAGACTAAGAAAGTATTCGTAAGTCATATGAAGAATTGTCTTCTTCATGATTAACATGATATGTCATATAACGTTTCAACGTAAGTATGTCCTAACATGTCCCTAAAAGTGTTGAGTGCAAATGAAGGTTCTGATTGTAGACTGAAAATATCTACATAACTATTATACTAGATGTCTATCAGAGAAGATAAAGTATCCTATTTTTAATTAACATCGAGGTTTGACACACTTTATAAATGTGGTCTGTTATACAAATTACCGATTTGTTTTCATTTATGACTCAAATGTGAAAAGAAGAAAACAATATAGCAGTAACACGTGCATAATCTCTGTAATTAAGCAATTTACAACAATAATCACATGATGATTTGAGTAGATGTTTAACTTTTCTGGGAAACGTTTGGAAATACGTGTTATTTATTTTATCTAGAGATTAACAACAATTCAGTGTCAGCAACCCAATTTACGAAGACTTCCACCCTACCTGAGAAAGACGAAACAGTTGGCCAACTGGTCGATCTTAGCAGTAGTAATGGTAACGATTCTGCGGTGCTTCTTAACGTAGTAGCTAAAGAACACAGTCCTGTTAATGTCTTGGACCTTTGGGCAAATTGGTTGTCGATGTAAGTATATTCTAGAATAAAAACTGAGAAAATTCTCAAATAGCTAAAGATGAAAAACAAAAACCCAAAACTTCTACGTTATCAGTAACATTCTCCTGAAACGCACTCTTCCAGAGATTTATAAGGGGCATAATCTGAGATGAGGAATCCAACAGCTACCTTCTCGTGTAGTTCTCATATAGAACACATTCAGTCACAAGGATAATTCACTGTCATATAGAACACATTCAGTCACAAGGATAATTCACTGTCATATAGAACACATTCAGTCACAAGGATGATTCACTGTCATAAAACACATTCAGTCACAAGGATAATTCACTGTCATATAGAACACATTCAGTCACAAGGATAATTCACTGTCATATAGAACACATTCAGTCATAAGGATAATTCACTGTCATATAGAACACATTCAGTCACAAGGATGATTCACTGTCATATAGAGCACATTCAGTCACAAGGATGATTCACTGTCATATAGAACACATTCAGTCACAAGGATGATTCACTGTCATATAGAACACATTCAGTCACAAGGATGATACACTGTCATATAGAACACATTCAGTCACAAGGATGATTCACTGTCATATAGAACACATTCAGTCACAAGGATAATTCATTGTCATATAGAACACATTCAGTCACAAGGATAATTCACTGTCATATAGAACACATTCAGTCACAAGGATAATTCACTGTCATATAGAACTAATTCAGTCACAAAGATGATTCGCTGTCATATAGAACACATTCAGTCACAAGGATAATTCACTGTCATATAGAACACATTCAGTCACAAGGATAATTCACTGTCATATAGAACACATTCAGTCACAAGGATAATTCACTGTCATATAGAACACATTCAATCACAAGGATAATTCACTGTCATATAGAACACATTCAGTCACAAGGATGATTCACTGTCATATAGAACACATTCAGTCACAAGGATGATTCACTGTCATATAGAACACATTCAGTCACAAGGATGATTCACTGTCATATAGAACACATTCAGTCACAAGGATAATTCACAAGTAATTTACATTACATTTCGATTTCTTTTTTTCTTCATTTGTAGCAATAATTTTGATTCATAGTTCTCCATATGGGTATGATCCAATGCAAGTTAATAAATTTATCTTAAGGTTTTAAAAGAAAGTTTGAAAACTAGAAATAAAACCAAAAGTTTTTGTTGTTGTTGTTGGATGTGCACTATCACAATTACATGAACTCCGTGCGGATCTTAGCAACGACTCGGCCCGGCATGGCCAGGTGATTAGGCCACTCGACTCGCAATCTGCGGGTCGCGGGTTCGAATCCCCGTCACACCAAACATGCTCGCCCTTTCAGCCGTGGGGGCGTTATAATGTGACGGTCAATCCCACTATTCGTTGGTAAAAGAGTAGCCCAAGAGTTGGCGGTGGGTGGTGATAACTAGCTGCCTTCCCTCTTGTCTTACACTGCTAAATTAGGGACGGTTAGCGCAGATAGCCCTCGTGTAGCTTTGTGCGAAATTCAAAACAAACAACGATTCGATGTTTGAGAGATTTTGTTTAAAAGTAATGACCTACTCCATTTTTTGCATAGTTATTGTCCACACAAAAAGCACAATAAAGTCGTTAACGTTCGTAAAACTAATATTTGTTGTTTTCAGTAGATTAACGACGAATTAGAAACCAAATGTCTCTCCAGCAAATATGTAATTTTGAAATACATGGAATTCCTAATAATATCATATTCCCGAGGAAATCCATGTTGCTTGCTCTATATTCCTAATTAAACAGATATTTTGTCAAGATTACAAATTTTATATGCTATAAAAAAAGAGATCAACATAAAATCGATTTTAATGAGAGCAGAACAAGTTTTAATATAAAAATAGTGTTGTAAGTAGATTTTGATTTTATTATTTTTTTCTGCAAGATTATAATTTACTTAGATACCCTGTTATATAGTTGCGAATTACATAAAATATTTACTAGTTTTGATTTTTTATGGGAACTAAAACTTCTTTAAAGCTAACATAAGTTTTAAAATGATAAGTTCTCAAGTAAAAAAACAAACAAAAACTATAAGCGGTTGTTGTCCTTATAAAAATAAAGAAGCATTTTATTTATTCATTAAACGTTGTGTTACTTAACAAGAGCACAACCTTCGTTGAATTAAACCAAAGATGTCAGAGAAAGTACTTGTGTGTTATTATTTACTTCTTCGATACCTGTGGTGGGCAGAGCACAGATAGCCCAATATGTAGCTTTGTGCTTAATTACAAACAACCAATTTACTTCTTCAGCATAGTAACAAAATATATTTTCAGTTTTTTTTTTCAAATCTCAAAAAGTAGTTATTAAACCTTACATTTACAGGCACCCTATGATCATTGGATCCGTAATTAATTTTATAATTTTTCCATTAAGATTTCGTGACTTACCTTATTTCATTTTTACTCACGCAAAAGAGAACCGCTGGTTGTTCGTCATATACGTGCAGAAATAAAATACTAACGCACCAGTCTTTAAACAGTATTTGGTCACGAAATAAAGTATTTTTCAGATATTTCTTGGACTTGAGCTGCTTAGTGAGGAGTAAAATATATATAAAAAATATTTTTATTCTTTAAGATACTCGAACTGCTTTTAAACTTCAGTTAACAGAATATGTGTAATTCAGAAGAAAAAATCATGGTATTTTGACAGTTTTAAAATCTACTATTGAACCAATTTCTTTCTTTCTTAATGTAGGGTATATTTTACCTTAATTAGAATTATAAACTTCGAGACAGATAATAGAACCAATCTTGAAAAAAACAACAACATAAATTTTCTTGATAGACAGAGAGCGATAATAAAATGGAACAAAGCCAAAACTAAGAGAGAATTACTGAATGTATTTCCATTAGAGATGACTCTGCTAGCGGCCGTGCTTGTGATAAGAAAGTATGTGAAGACTCGCGGCTTAGTCAGCTCAGTACGCCCTCTACATGTGAAAGTGTGAAACTTCCACACTGTGGCTTCGATAATCCAAACGAATATCCTTTTTCTGAGGTCTTTAGTGATTCAGAAAACGAAAGAGACATCAATAGGTAAGCTATAGGTACTAGAAACTACTTTATTCAGAATTGTAGAACTACACGAGGAATTAACTTTTAAATATTCACATACTGAAAAAACAACAACTAATTACATTCAAAGAAGCAGGTAGAAAGGCATGTGAAAATGTTATTAGGATTTCAAATGAAGGCAGTACAATTTTAGCAAGATTGGGCAAAATGTATTTATTATGTGCTTTTCTTTTTCTTATATACATTCTTGATACGGTTGACAATCGTCTGTTAATTGTAATCGATTTTTAGTTGGCTTGAACTATCACGTGAACGTTGGGTATCAATTGCCTTTGGTATATTTTGAATATTATGAGTTAGTTACTAATTATCTTTGTAAGATTTATGCTAATACGTTTTGGTTTTCTCACTTAAAGTGATATAAAAGAAGAGGAGGACATCGACGACTTCTCACGTGGACTTCAAATATTTTTCAATGCTGCAACTCACAGAAAGCGTGAAAGACGGAACAAATCTTTAGAGGGCGCCCAAGTGGGAATGGAAAACAGAGTTATGGCAGCGGCCACCTTTAAGAAAAACTACAGGTTGTTATATAAATAAACCTCTTTGTTTTTCTAAATGGTTGAAATGTACGATATAATATAAAAAATATAACATTTAAGCTCATAGAGGTCATGGTAGAGGTACTCAACCTCTCTGCCATGTCACCAGACGAGTAGTTTGGATATCTCATCAGACAGACTGAAAGAAAGCTAAATTTGATATATGAAAACGTAAATATGTCTTTTTCGATCAGCGGCAGTAAGAAAAACCATTTGAAAAACTTTTAACTTATGACTAAGAGGAGTTAAAAAAGTGTGTGGAAAAAAATTTGATTTGATTGTTGTTAAGTACAAAGATACTCAAGAGGCTGTGTGTGCTCTGTTCACCAAGGGTATCGAAACCCGATTTTTAGCACCGTAAGCCTGCAAACCTTACGTTGAGCGACTGGTGGATGGGGGGGGGGGTGGATGAAAGAGAGAGACATGAAAATATTTATCACAATCCTTCTCACAGTATTTATAGCATAACTGTTTAAATACTTTATGGAATATCTTCACTGTTGAATATATGGTCAAAATAACTCTAACAGTAATAGGTTACAATCTTTGTACATTATTTGTACACTCTTTCGTTTCGAATACTCCTCCGGTTGGTCACGTTAGGTTTATGGACTTACAAAGCTAACATCCAGGGTTCGATTTCCCCTTAGTGGACAGAGTTCAGAGAGCTTATTGTGTTTCTTTGCTCTAAAACACAAAAACATTCTAACATATGAATAAAATAGTTAAAATATTTCCAGTCTAAACTTACAGACTTTTAATTCTAAAGTCAGTAAATATCGTTACTTAACTAAGATAATAAATATTCTAATTTATTAAGGTAAAGAAAGGTTTGGTATGACGTCACATCCGTTAGTAGTATTATCGTGAAGGGGAATACAGCTAATTTAGCACATGATCTAAACACTTCGTTAGTTAGTTACAAAGATATAGAAATTGAGCGCAATAAATTACTAGGACATTGTTAGGTCAATGACGTTTTGGCTTATACTAAAAATATTTCCAACTAAAAAAAAATCATTAATTACAAAAACTGAGATTGGTTGTAGCTACTTCATAAACCAGTTGCTAAGAAGCGCCATCTTATTTTATTTTTGTAAATACCAAATTGTTTTTCATGCAGTTGCACACCTCTGACTTTTACAGAATTAAGAAAAGCATAGTTGGGGTCACTTTTATAGGACTTTTGTTTTCTTCAGGATACCAGGATCAAAAGTGGTCTCGTTGATATTACTGTCAGTTAGGAAGAAGTACAGAAAGTGTGGGTTGGGTAATTTTCTTCTCAAGGTACGTTGTGAGATTTTCAGTTGATGATAATATACTTGTTTCAGTTTTATTAATTAATTAACAATTTGGTAGATTATAACGTGATTGTTTTCAGGTTTTGTGAAATAAACACTTTTTCTGTTCAAAGAAATATTTAATTTATCTAATAGACTTCCTATTAATTCTAAAACAAAGTAAAAATGTAATAATAATTTCCCAATATTAAAGATTGTCATTAATAATAACTAGGTATTGAAGAAATCTATGAATTTCTTAAGCGTGCTAACATGCTTGGTTTAATCAGACTTCGAGTTACATCTCCTACTTGTGACAACCAATTTGTAAGACGATGTTGGTTCCGTTAGACTTCTGACTTGAATATGTTATAATAATTTTCTAATTGATTAATTTATGAAAGTATAGAATGTGTAGTTGATATCGCTTTTTGATGTAACTCTAGTTTTAAATATTTTACATATGATCAACAACTAAATTTAATTGCCATGATCACAAGAATATAAAATAGGAATAACAAATTAAAACTGTAAGATGTGGTAGCTTGCATAAACTGTACTGACATATAAAATAGCTTTCTGATTTTAGACTTGTGATCTGTAAACAATAGCAAGAGGATTGGGATTTTCACTCTACGGATTTTGTCTGGATAACAAACTTTCAAAAAAAAAAACTAAATGAACTGTAGATGACGCTGTTAGACATGTTCGAGCTTTTGTCTTATAGTAATCTTAATTGAATATAACCTAAAATATTATGCAACTTTACTAAATTTAATGTTGGGCAGATTTGCCTGAAGGCTTATAGAGAGTAATTCTTTATTAGATTCATCAGATTAAACCCGCAGAACATATAAAAACGTATGATCCAAGGTTATAGTAAGTAACGTTTTATGGTGAACATCAGGTTAAACCCACAGAACATGTAAAAAATGCAAGATCCAAACTTAGAGTGGGTGACATTTTATCAGATTAAACCAACAGACTATTCAAAAAATGTATGATCTGAAAGTATAGTAGGTGCCATGTTATCAGGTTAAATTGATTGGACACACAGAACAGACAAAAATATAAATTCAAGATTATAGTAGGTGTCATTTTATCATGTTAAATTGATTGGACACACAGAACAGATAAAAATATAAATTCAAGATTATAGTAGGTGTCATTTTATCATGTTAAATTGATTGGACACACAGAACAGAGAAAAATATAAATTCAATATTATAGTAGGTGTCATTTTATCATGTTAAATTGATTGGACACACAGAACAGAGAAAAATATAAATTCAAGATTATAGTAGGTGTCATTTTATCATGTTAAATTGATTGGACACACAGACCAGATAAAAATATAATCTAAGGTTTCACGTAGTTTTGGCTCATAACAAATATTGAATTAATTTCCTGACTCAAACTGTTATTAAAGCAGTAATGTACCTGACACTCTAAAAATATTTGAGTGCTATTTCCTAGCTAGTAAAAATGCTTAAGTAATAAATGAGCATTTTGAACAGACACACAGTCGGTGAAAAGTATGTGCATCTAATTTCACGTGTAAAGCAGAAATTTAATTCCGTCAGGAATTTGAACAAATACATGTGTAAAGTTCTTATTACCTCACTTTTTCTACTGTTTCTTCGCATCTCTTCGGAGATCTAAATGTTTTGTTTTCATCTATTTGTAAATAAACCAATACTTTACAAATCACAGACTTCAAATTTTCAGTTGTCTTATTCTTAATACGTTTGTCGATTTTTGAAGAGAGCTGTTATTTTTTTCCCAGAAGTTGAAAAGTCCTTCGGTCGTGGGTCCTTATGATGCCCTGGTTGTCAGGGCTGACAACTCAGCAGTACAGTTTTTCTTCAAAAACGGCTTTACTGATGATATCATACTCAACAGTAAGTTCAGGTAAGATTGATGATTTCTTTTTCAAAGTTGTGGCGAAAAACAAGAGTTGAAAGATTCTCATATTATCAGATCAAAGAGGATACCACCAATGAGTTTGTATTATCACACTTAAAAAATATCAGTAATGAGTTTGTACTGCCAAACGAGATGTCGTTATTGAGTTTGTATTACCACACTTAACATATACCACTAATGTGTTTGTATTATCACACTTAGAATATACCAATAATGACTTTATACTGCCAAACTTAAGAGATGTCGTTATTGAGTTTGTATTACCATACTTAATAGATACCATTAATAAGTTTGTATTATCAAACTTAAAACATACCAATAATCAATTCATATTACCACACTTATAGAGATACGAATAATGAATTTATATTACCACATTTAAGAGATAACACAAGTGAATTTCTATTACCATACTTATAGAATCCACTAATAAATCTGTATTACCACACTTAAAACATATTGTTACGTCTCCGTTTGTTAATTGGTTTTCCGTAACTTTGTTCCGACGAAACTTTAGCGACACAAGTCCTTACTTAATAAAA